CAGAATCCCCTCCATCCTCGGATAGCACCAAAGCCATTTCGGACATTTTTACCAGCCCATCCACGCTGGCGGCCAGATACGCTTTCCGTTCCTCTTTACTCATCTTTTTTATGGCCGCAGCTTCATGGGCAACCACTGTCGGAGGGAATCGCTCGAAAAAGCCCGCCTCTTCGAAGCAAGGGGGGAAGGCGAAAGATTTAACAGCACCGGCGTCCTCGCCGACAGTCGGACCACCTTCCACACGGGTCCTCTTCCTCTGCGTCAAAACGGCACTGGGGTCGATCTCCTCGACTTCTGGATCCGACGCGGGCCCCGAGCTCGACGGCGAGACCACCCTCGCCGGCTAAGGAGAATTTGGACTGTGTGGTGGGCCCATTCTCGTCGCCTGTGGGGCCTTCACGACCCTCCTGCCTCGCCTCTGGTCGCAGGATAATTTCAAGAGCCTTTCATGTCGACTAGCCATCGTACCTGCGCAAAATAAAGGAGAAGTCAGTATCGAGTAAACTTCATAAGTAAATGACGAATAAAGAATTTCAAGCAACAAACAACCTAACAGGCGGGCAACCTGCCTGTATGTCGGGCACTCCACCAGCGCCTTGGTGTCAATCGGACGGGACTCGAACGTCGGGTAACCATCTTTGTCCAGGATATCATCCCCTTCCCGCGTAACCCATCGGGCGGGATGGAAACTGTCGACAAACCGGCAAAGAGCGCCGTACGCCTGCTCGTCTTCCGAGCACATGTCCCCGGCGGTGGTATGGTAATAACCGGTCCCATGCTCGTAATGCCGGGACATCCAGTACACCGGGATTTTAGCCCTACGACCCAACACGGGGTTCCCATCGTCGCCCATCATCGCCTCCCCATCATCGTCGCTCACCGGCCCCTCCTCCTCGAAAAGGGAATTTAAAGCAGCGTCGGTAACTGGCCGTACCACGTACCACTTGTCTTTAAACCCCCTCACGGAGTCCATATACATCTTAAAGAGTCTCCTCGACTGCTTCAGGGAGACCCAACTATGTTTCCCTCCTCGGGACTGACGCTGCAGGTGAAATATCCGGAAGAAAAGCGGGATGGTCGCCCCGATCCTCAGGTAGCGACACGTCAACTCAAACGCCCGGATGAAGGCGAGAGAGTTTGGGTGTAGCTGGGACGGGGCCAGCTCCAAGTGCATAAAGACCCCGGCCTGGAAATCAGTGAATGGCAGCCGCAGCCCTAGGTCTTTGAACGCGATCTCATACACCGTGAGGCTGTAATTCGGATAAACCGAGCAAATCCTTGCACGGGTTGACGGAAGCATGACTACAAAGTTTTTCTGGAAGCCGGGCTGGTCTTGACCCTCTTCAATGACATCGAATGGATGTCGGTCGTCCCGGCTGTATACCGACGCTATCCCCCGCGGCTCGACGCCCACCCATTCCAGCAAAGGGTCGGTCACGGTATCTATCAGGGTGACCGACTCGTCGGCACTCTGTTCTTCACGGTCGCGGCGTCCGGAGGAGCTCGGCTCGTCCGCCATGGTTACCTGCAGTGCACGGGAAACCAGTCAGTTGAGCACGAAGTCCTACGCTCGACAAAATCATGTCGTCCCATACACGACTACATAAGTCCGTTTCCACGAATGGTTGCATCCCCGACGTCCTGAACCCGGTGTTCTTCCTCAAACCAACTGCGCGGTCACTCTCCAAGCATGTCGGCCCGAGGTATGAACATGGCGAGCCGCACCATGAAGCCCACGGCCAAGACCATGAACATACCGGGCGCGATCATGAATCAGGCGCCCTAGATCATGAAGACCCCGGGCAGCTCTGAAGTTTATCACCCAAAACTATGAATGTGCCGGCCACAAACATGCGTTTGCCGGTCCTAGACATGAATGTGTCGGGCTAAGCATGAGTTTACCGGGCTAATCTCACGCACACGGTCCTAAAACATCTACAAACGCCAGAAATCATGCATTCTAAACAGAAAAATGAAGAAGATAGATCACTTACTTGGATCAAAGAGTGGGATTTGGCTACGAAATGGAAGAATCTGTAACGGAAAGTCGCAACTGGAGAAAGTCTGGAAGAGCAGCAGCAGAGAGAGCACAGAGAGCAGAAAACGTATTATGGGGCCCAAGGTTCCTATTTATAGTGATGACGTGGAATACCAAACGTCACCTCGGGCAACCACGGACTCCATCTCCTCGACGCGCTGCTCCCAACGCAATGATGACCCTACCCCCATAGGGGTGGCGGCACAGTTCCCGAAAGATACCTCGTGTGCTCAACCGACGCGCCCGGTAAGGATCCTCCGCGCATCCACCACCGAGGAAGTCTCCGAGCACGACACGAGGAGGCCCCTCGAGGGCCCACACCTCTATCCCGGGCACGAGACCTCAACGAGGGAATAACTTGGGTTCAAGTCATGGCTCCTCGCAAAGGAACCACGACTTGGGGGCCTCCTGTTCTGGACTGGGCCCGACAGGCCCAAAAGCATTGCTAAGGCCCAGTCCAAAGGGACTTACTGAGGACCACGCCGAGCAAAGGGGTCACATCCGTGCCCGACATCCTGATGGCCAGCTCGACATCCAGCTGTCCAACTCCACGTGATGATGTCCAGCTCCGCCTCCTGACGTCCAGCTCGACATCCTGCCGTCCAGCTCCACGTCCTGACGTCTAGCTCGACACCCTGCTGTCCAGCTCGACGTTGTCTCGAGCATCCCAACTAGGGCAGACTCAGTCCACCGTTCCCCCAACGATACTCCGGAAAGACCGCGTCTTCGTCCGCCCGCACTTCACGCAGAACATCCAGGAAGGGGACCACGTGCGGGTCCCCACTACCCATGTAGAACCTGGCAGTTCCTCCATTGGGCCAAATCCGCCTGGCCCAATGAAGGAACCTTGGCCCAGCGCTGGGGGCTATAAATACCCTCTGTTTCCAGAGGGTCAGGTATTCATCATTCTAACCTCAACTTACTATTATCTGCTCGTACTCCCACTTACTTCAGCATCGGAGTGTCTTGCAGGTACCCCCCCACCTCGTTCAAAAAAGCTTTCTGCTCGGAGCCAGCCGTGACGGTCCATTTCTGATCAGGTCAGATCAATAACAGTAACATTTATCCATGTAGACACACGTATATGTTACTAATACATCCACAATGATAAGAAAAAAATACAACATGATTGACCTTTTTACATTTTTTACATAAATACTTAAGATGTAATAACGTTTAAAATATGCATTTTAAACAATGCACAAAATTGAAAAAAAAAACATTTCTCTTTAAATAATTATATATTTTATAAACAAAAAAAGAAGTTATTGACAACAAATAAATCTATTTATAAAAATGAATGATAATGCCTAATACCTAATTTAAAAAAAGTGAGATAGATCATCTTAAGTGTGGGGTATATTCATAAAAACAGTTAGTATTTGGTTTACTATAAACCTATCTCCAATTCAGCCCATAAAAATCTAACGGTCAATCGAGTCATAACAGGTGCTGCTGTTTCCATCAATGTTTAACACTTCCACCAAACCAACCACATGCAATATATATATATATATATATATATATATATATATATATATATATATATATATATATATATATATATATATATATATATATATATATATATATATATATATATATATATATATATATATATATATATATATATTCACCAAATATTCAATTAAAAGCACATGAAATCACCTAACAATTAAATAAAAATACAACTAAATTCAATTAAATGATTTAATTGAATTCAGAGTGTTATATAATATGCTCAACATTTTGCTTTCAACTAAACATCACACAACTAATTCTAAATCTACATTAAAAAAAACTAATAATGACTTTACTTGTTATAAAATGAATTCAAGCTCTCAAGTAAAAAAAATCAAAATATAAACTCTTTCAAAACCTAAACCACACTTTAAATTAGATTAAAGATTTTCTCATTAATTATAAATCTAAATCTTATAATTAAAATAGATCTAATTAAATCTCTTCATAAATTATTTGTTTAATTAAATATTCAATTAATATCTTTGCGTATCAATTTTAGCATAATCTAAATCGAACCTTTCAACCATATCCAATAGAATCCTTTCTTCAATTCAAATTCAATCAAATATTCTTTGATTAAATCAAATTCAAATATTTTAATTAAATCTTTTTCAACAAATAAGTATGAATTATGATTTAATAAAATTATTCAAACTAATTTGATTTATAATTATTCTTCTAAACACAATCTTGACAGACTTCTAAAAGAATTAAAATCAAAACAAATCTGAAAAAAATTAAAATCAAATCTATGCAACACGCGCATCAAAGACAACATATCGAAGATATCTTACTCAACACCTTCCTTACACAATTTACCAATCAACTATTTCTTTCAAACCAACATCACAAAAATCTTAAATTGACCAAAACAAAATCAAATCTAATAATAACCTCTAAAATAAAAAAATAAAAAAAACCAAAAAAATCAAAATATACTCATCATCTTTCATGACATTTTGCTTTCCATATGTTGACTATAAAATAAACCCACCCATGAATAAATAATATTTATGATATGTAAACAAATATTTATTGACAGCAAATAAATAAATTTACAATAATAAACCGTTACAAGCCCACCTCCAAGTCAGCCCATAATAACCTAACGGTCAATTGACCAGAGCGGGAAAACGAAAGTTTGAAATATCATTGAAAATTATTTTCCCACGAAAAGTTAGCGCCTAATATTTCGCTGAATTGCCAAATTTCAAAAAACAAAAAACGTATCTTCCAAATTTTAATTCAATTTAATGTCTTGAAAACGATATTTCATTACAATCTATTCTCTCTCTCTCTCTCTCTCTCTCTCTCTCTCTCACAGAGGTATCTCTTCTGATCTTCTTGCATGATTCACTCTAACCGGGAACATGGTCGCAGATTTTTTTTTTAACGTTTGACCTAGTTTTTGGTTTTGAATTATGTAGGTGATTAAGCAATGGCAGGAAAAGGAGGGAAAGGACTTGTTGCGGCGAAAACCACCGCTGCTAACAAAGATAAGGACAAGAAAAAACCTACTTCCCGCTCATCTCGTGCCGGAATCCAGGTAAACCCCCTTTCGTTCTTTTCTAGGGTTTTGTTTTGAATCAAAGAAAAAGATGACAGTTTTCAGAGACCCAGTTAGCATTTTTGTATAAAATGTGAATTTTTTTTTGTTGTAGTTTCCTGTGGGAAGGATTCACAGACAGCTGAAGCAAAGAGTTCAAGCCAATGGACGTGTAGGAGCAACTGCTGCTGTTTACTTAGCATCCATTCTGGAGTATCTTACTGCTGAAGTTCTCGAGCTTGCTGGAAATGCAAGCAAAGATCTGAAGGTTAAGAGGATAACACCAAGGCATTTGCAGCTTGCAATTAGAGGAGACGAGGAACTTGATACCCTTATTAAAGGGACAATAGCTGGTGGTGGTGTCATTCCTCACATTCACAAATCGTTGATCAACAAAACTGCCAAGGAATGAATGAGGTGTTTGTTCTGTTTCATGTCCATGTTTTTTTTAACTTTAACTAGGGTGTGGTTTATTTTATTATGAATTGAAGTGATTATCACAGTAGGGTAGTTTTAGTTTAGAATTGAATCAATTAATATGTTACTGTGTAAATGTTGGTGTTCTTAATTTGTTTGTCTTGGAGATTTGTCATCGTCTCATGTTTTATCTTTACCTTTTAATATCATGAATGGTTAATACTACAACTTTCTCCAAATCCAAGTTTCTCCATCCCAAAACTGAGTTTTAGGTGATATTGCTCAGAATTATAATTAAGTGCTCAGAATTATAAAAAAGTCAAAATTTTCATTCTTTAGTGAAACTACATGTATTATTTCTCAGGGTTTTTTTAGTTCCGTTTGGGTCAGATGAATTTTGTTTGAAGTTTAAGCCAACCGAAACCTACACTAGTTCAACGTAAATTCCATTTATTAGTGGTTGAGTAACATAGTAAAATACCTGTATATGTTGCGAGTATTTGTTATTTAAATGAAATAAAAAATAAAATGAAAGAAAGACAATTCTTTAATTAAAAGAATTAATTATTTTAAAAAAAGATGATATATTTAATATTTTATAAATATTATTTTTATTTTGATATTATTTATAAAAATATTTAAATTAATAGTAAACTTCTTGTATATAAAATTTGAATTAATTTTTTTTGGAGATCTAATTAAATTTATTTAATAAATTAATCAAATAAATTAAAGTCAACTATACACCTTTAAAATCATCTTTGTTTTTTTAAATTGAAATTTAAGGTACAATTATCAAAATTTAAAAATACACATATTTCTTAATCATTTATTTATTTCAAATTTATCTTAAAACAATTTTTTTAAATTCTAAAATTTAAAATTCGTTTGATTTATTTATTTATTTTAGTACATTTTTAAATTGAAAAATATTAGAATGAATAGTAAAGTTATTCCTGTATATAATTTTTTTTTTGAAGATTTAATCAAATCTATTTTGAAAAATAATCAAACACATTAATATTATAATCAATTATATACCTTTAAGTTTACTTTTGATTTTTTTAAAAATAGAAATTAAAGACAGGTGAAAGAGAAGAAAGGTTTCTTTGCAATAAAAGTTAATTTAGCAAAAGCATTCGATAAGCTGAATTGAGAGTTTATTTGACATATGCTGCGGAAGATTAAGCTTTTGAATCATATGATAAATTTAATTATGCATGCAGTTACCACAGTGGAGACCAATGTTAATTGGAATGGTGTTCATAATACATTTTTTAGGCCTCAACGTGGAATCCAATGGGGGGATCTGATTTCCCCGTACTTATTTATGCTTTGCATGGATAAATTGTCATATAATTGAAGAGGTAGTCTTGGATCAAAGATGGAAAGCTTTAAAGTTGGGCAAGAATGGTGCCATGATTTCGCATCTTATGTTTGTGAATGACCTTCTATTGTTTGGAGGAGCCACTGAGTGTCAAATGCGATGTGTAGTGGAAACTCTCGATAAATTTTGTAGGTTGTCTGGGCAGGAAGTTAGTCATGAAAAAACTACTGTTTATTTTTTCAAGAATGTCAATAGAAGTGCAGACTAAATTAGAAAACATGTCCAAGTTCAGAGTGACAAATTCTTTGGGAAAATATTTGGGAGTTCCTCTTAGTGGCAGGAAGCTTAACAAGAATGATTTCCAGTATGTGGTGTGTAACATCCCAATTATTATTAGCTATTTTATTTAATTATTTATTTAATTATTTTATTAGGTGTTTTGATTATTTAATTATTATATAGTATGATAATTATTTAATTGTAGTATTTATGTGTTATTTGGGCTAATTGTGTTAATTAAGAGAGGAATAACTAGTTGGACCTAAACAGTGGTGACATAAATAATAAGGGTGGTGTTAAAATGGTAAGCCCAATAAAAGATAAGAGATAGTAAGGGTTTTGGTGAGAGTAGAAAGATATCATTTCATTTGAAGAAGAGAAAAGAAGGCCAAGAAGAGAAGAGGAGAAAGAGGAAGGAAGAAGAGGCAAAACCTATAGGTGAATCTTCAATAGGTAAGGGGGAGAATCCTTATTAATATGGGTGTGTATGGTATGGAATGGGTAGTAACATACTAGGGTGATTTGATTTTTAATTTCTAGAATCTTACATGTTAGGGTTTAGGTAGAAATCTATGAAATTGATAAGATTTGACGTGTTGAATGGAATAGAATGAGTACTTTTATGTTAGGATGATGGGTTATTGATAAAATTGACAAGCATGATTGCTTGTGGTGATTTATGATGTTTCTTAGAAGAAGATTCGTGTGAATTCTAAGTAAAAAATGCAGAAAAATCATATTTTCAAAGTTTGAGTCGACTCAAACTGAAAGGGGGTCGGCGCGAGATAACCCGCCAGACAAGGAAGTGTTGTCACGCAATTTTGCATCGACTCATAGTTCTTTGCATCGACTCATACAACAAGTTTTCTGGCAGATTTTTTAACGGTCATAACTTTTGAACCGTAACTCTATTTTAGGTGCTGTTCGAATTGTTAGAAAGCTAACGAAATAAACTATAAGATAGAACTAGGTTTGTTTGCATTGGATGATTGGAATAATAGTTTGGATATTATTTGTTATATGTCATGAATGGATGATGAATAGAAATAACATGTTTGGGCTTTGTTTGCTACTCGTGATATGTGTGATTGATGAATGTTATATGATTGCATTGTGTTAATGATATATGTGTGTTTGTGCAACGGTGGATAATTCATTTTGATGGATTATTGTGATATGCAGTATGACTAAGATTTGGTGATAATCTTAATTTGTATATAATTGGTTATGTTTGCACATGCATGCATGGGGAGATTGAACTTCGGTTGGTTGCTTTGATCCTTATATGGAAATAGAGGTAATGAACTATATGTTCATATTGGTGGGCTTTGGTCTTGTCCGGATCAGAAGTGTGGCTGTAGTTCTAAATATTGAATCGGGAGCGAGGTGAACTTGATGTTCACGATGGTACCACATGCATGAGTCGCATTGAGTCGCATTGGAGTCACATTTGTTGTTACGTGATATTTTGCTTTGAATGCGTGATGTGTGTGATAATTGGTTCAACTGTGACTTTGGTGATCATTGCAATATATGTGATGATTGTGTGATTTGTTCTACTTGGATATAATTATCTTGGTACTTGTATTGGTGGAGCCATGTTATATAGATAATTATATGAAGTGTGATAAATTCTCGGAATGTATGCATGTTATATACATTGTTTATATTATAATGATGTGAATTCTCACCCTTTTGTTGTAATAATCTACTATGCGACATCGCGTAGGTACTGAGGATAGCGGTGATACTGCTAGGATTAGTCAGAAGAGCTAGATCCTTATTTACCTGTTTTATCCCTAGGTAGTGAGTCATTGCTCTGATCTATGTAACACATGGGGTTTTGAACTCATGTTTATTTGAAAGATATTGTTATTTCTCATATTTGAATTGTATGTTGAGAGTTTATGTTGAGTGGCCTCAGTGTCTAATGATTTTAGATGAGAATTTATGATTATAGTATGGGATATAATCATTATTATAATTATTATTATTTAAGTAAAGAATTATTTCGCTGTGATGTGCATGGTTTTGAAAACATGAAGTTTGAATACGTGTTATGATCATGACTAGTATGCATGTTTGAATTTCTTGAATATTTTGTGAATTCAAAATGTGACGCCCTCTTTGAGATGCATGTTATTTTACTCTGATTATGCTATTTATGCTATATCGGGTTAGGGGGTGTTACATTAGTGATATCAGAATAATGGTCGGTCAGATTGGCCAGGTTACTAATGATTTTATTCCCTGTTGTATTCGATACGTGTGTGAAACACTATCGATACTTGTTTGTTTCTTTTAACCACTTGGTTGCAAGAGTGAGTTTGAGGCAAGTGGGGGAGGAGTTTTCGCTTCCCCGAGTTGATTCAACTATGGAGTGTTGGTTCAGTATGCTGTTGATTGCAAGAGTGTGGATTTGAACTGATGTTTACAGCAACTGTTTGGCGAAGATAATTATTTTCTGGAACTTGAGAAAGAAGGAAATGGAGAAAAACGTTATAAACTTTAGAGAGATTGTTGGACATTATGCTCAGGTGATTTTGAGAAAGATGAAGGATGCTATTGCAATTGGGTAACAATGGTTTATGCCACCATTATGGTTGTCGGCTACCTATTGACAAATTGAGGAACTAATCACCCTTAATTGCTTGTTGATAGTAGACAAGATCATATTGGACTAGATAGGCTTATCTTGACATCTTGATAGTATGTAAAGTGAATGAGTCTGTGCAAGACGGTACCATGTTGTTTGCTTTGTTGACAATGTTGGATCTCAGCGAGAAGCAAACTATGGGTGAGTTGCCTATTGTCCATGATTTTCCTAAGGTGTTTTCTGAAGATGTAAGTGATTTGCTGCCAGAACGTGAGGTGGAGTTTACGATCGACTTAGTTCCTGGAACTAGTCCTGTTTCGATGGCTCTATATCAGATGTCAGCTTTTGAGTTGAAAGAGTTGAAGAGTCAACTTGAGGATTTACTTGAGAAGAAGTTTATTCGTCCGAGTGTGTCGCTGTGGGGTGCACCTGTTTTGTTGGTTAAGAAGGAAAAAGGTTCTATGGGGTTGTGTGTTGATTATAGACAACTAAACAAGGTGACTATTGAGAATAAGTATCCACTTATGAGGATTGATGATTTGATGGATCAGTTGGTTGGGGAAAATGTGTTTAGTAAGATTGATTTGAGGTTTTGGTATCATCAAATTAGTGTGATGGCTGAAGATATTCAAAAGACTTCTTTTAGGACAAGGTATGGTCATTATGAGTATTATGTAATATCGTTTAGTGTGACCAATGCACCTGGTGTATTTATGGAACATATGAACATGATTTTTCATGAGTATCTAGATCAATTTGTTGTTGTGTTCATTGATGAAATTTTGATCTATTC